GTCCTCAGCCCTGGGCACCCCCGGCCAGGCCCGTCCTCAGCCCTGGGCACCCCCGGCCAGGCCCGTCCTCAGCCCTGCGAGGGCCCGTCTTACAGGTGGAACGCCAGGCCCACAGCAGCAGGTGGGAGGTGTGATGCGAAGACCTCAGGGTCCAGAGAACGGGGACTATCGCTGCAGCCAGGTCCCGAGTTGGCCCTGCCGGAGCCTGGGGCCAGGGTTCCCCTCAGGAGGCCAGAGGCCCCCAGGGTGAGGCTAAGAGAACCCCGAGCACCCCATGTCCCCTTCCCAGACCAGAGGCCCGGAAGCTCCAGGGGCACGGCGTTAGGCCCCCTGTGGCAAGGGTGCCGTCTTCCCTGGAGCTGGCACTGTTTTCCATTTTAAACAAATCCCGACTCTTTCCTTTTTGTAAGGAAGGACTTGCTAATGATACACAATATCATAACAGAAAGATGAGCAGGTTCAAGTACATGTCAAAAAACGGCATAACTTACATGACAAAACTATGGAGAAGTACCCTCCCAACAGAAAAATGCACACAGAATGTGAGCGTCTTGGTGGGGGGGGGAAAAAAAACATAGATGGGAGGTGGAACTGAATCACATCAATGCTGACAACGGCCGTTCCTGGCGCTCCTCAGGTGGGTGCCGTCTGGAAAGCCAGGGCTCTGCTCACAAACACCCCAGCCTCTGCCCTCAGGGAACTGTGTGCACCCAAAGGGCCCAGAGCCCTGGCTGAGCGCTTGCCGGATGAATCCCTTCTCCCCCGCGAGTCTCCGTCCGGATGCCTCCCACGCCAGGCAGGGCCCGCGCTGGCCGGGAGGAGTCCGGACAGGAGGACAGTCAGGCTGGGCAGGGCCCAGGGGAGGAGATGTGCTTGGCCAGGTCCTGCCGGTGGGTGAGGCCAAGGCCAGGGCTGGGGCTGGCCAGCGGGTCAGCTTGCGAGGGCACTTGGAGGGCGTGGTGCCCAGATGGGCTCACACTCAGTCGGGGTCATTATTCGTTTGCACCTCGGCCTGGGCAGCCCCCCTCGTCTCTGCACTTTCTGGCTTCGTGCCCCCAGGCAGGTGCAGGGTCCCACACCTCAGCCTGCCAGGGACCCCAGGCGACCAGGGCCAGACTGCCTCTGGGGTCAGCACAGGCCCCTCAGACCCTTTCTGAGGCCTGGATCTCCAGGGGGCCCTCCTCTCCAGGGAGCTCCCTGACCTCCCACGCCTCCCTGATGCTTCCTCCCAGCCGGCCCTGTGCAGCTGGGCATTGCATAGCGCCCACACCCTGTCCTACCTACCACCGGAGCCAGTCCTCCCAGAACCCCTGCTAGAGTGGACCCGCGGAGTCCAGCAAAGAGAAGGGTTGGGACAAGGAAGGGGGGCGGAAGAGGGGGAGGAGACTAAGCCAGGCAGGCCAGGGATCCTCCTTGCCAAGGTGCCCCAGGGTGACCCACCTGGCAGGTCAGTGGAGGGACCCTATGGCCACAGCCCCTCCAGGGCTGGACCTGGAATTCCCGGCCACAGGGTGGGGGTGGGGGGGACGGGCATGACGGGCCATTGAGGTCACAGAGCCTGGTGGGGTCCCCAAGGAAGGCAGCCAGAGACACTGACAAATGAATTTTGACCAGAAGGCTGTGAAATTCCTGGCAAACTTTTATATCAATGGAGGCAAACACTGGACCCACGGCCCGCTGAGACGGGAGTCATTATTGCCGACCCAGTAACTTCGAGGGGG